ACAAAAGTGTGAACCAAGCTACTTTGCTGAAGACTGATAAAGGGTTTTGAGGCGTTCGGCAGACAATTAAGCCCCAACCCTGCGGTAAAATGGTGATTTGACAAGGGTTAGATTCCTTTCAAGGAGGGAGGCACAATTTTTATATCTTATGAGGAAAAACATACAAATTTAACATAACGTTGACAGCGCCATGTAAAAATACCCTTGAATAACCGCTATAAATGGCCAATTGTCATCACAGACTTTAGAGACCTCAAGAATAGCGGCCGACGTTGACCCTTGGCAAAACGCAAAGACAATACAACTGCCGTCAGATTATGCAAACAGACCACCACAGTATCCACTGCCTCCGGTTGGTGCTGACTATCCATCGAGTCTCGTCCGTGAAAAACAGCCAGTTCGATCGAAAATGCAAACGGCTGGCGGCAAACTGTTAACCCTCTATCGTGAAATTACAACAAATATCTCAGCGTCATCAGTTAACGCTGGAATGTTGACTCAGACTGGCGTGATTCGGCGAAAAGCTGTTGAAGCAAACAGAAGCTCCTCCGAAGGTTACCATGAGGGTTTCAAAATTCTGGGTATTTGAATTCATACACCACACATTTATTAGAAATAAGTGAAGAAAAGTGGAACAAAAGTATCGAGAACGGCACTTTAAGCCCAATCGAGATCTTTAAAAACTAGACTTCTCCACTATAACCTCTATGAATTAAAAAAGGGAGACTTATTTTGGCGGTCTTGTAAAAAACAAAGAACCTTAGACAGACTTTATTTAAGCGGTACATGAGGCTTTTTGTACGAAAAATTTTAAAAAAGGTATTGCTAGGAATGAAAGGAGAACAAGGAATGACTCAACGTTTCCTCGCTTACTCTATAAATGATAACCGATTTCAGTCATAGTGGATAAATTAATTTCATTAAAAAATCGAATTTTATTTGACATGCGCATCAGCTAGGTGCAATTCTAGACGTGTAAGTCAGCCCGATATGTGCAGATGATAAGAAACCAATCAGTATTAGAGCCAGGATAGTTGATAGGCGTATGGGTTTACCTTATCGGTGTTGTTTCTGATCATCCAGCCAGGACAGTAACTGGCTGTAGACTTTGTAAACTCTTTCAGCCGATCCGTTAGCCAGCCAAGAGCAAAAAGGACTTCATTGGAGAACTCCACACGGCAGGTTTCGGCTGTGCAACTCAATAAGCTACCGTTCGGAACGCCGGCGAAGGAGGGGGCATATAAGAGTCCGGTCCTGGTGACTTTGAAAAGGCATTGAAGGTGGGTCCAGTGCGGCGTGAAGAGCCAGGCGGTCATTGACCGCGCGCTACAGGCCATGAAAGGCGTACTGGGTATGGAAGAGGAGGATTCGGTGGAAGGAGAGGAAAATCTCAGGGCTATGGAGGGGGCAGTAAGTTCCATCTGCATAAGTTCGAAATCAGCCGAACAGTAGGCATCAGAGGGTGTGAGAGCTGGCAAGTGGGGACAGTTTGACGAGGAAACCTAAAAAAATAAAAAGGTTAAACCTAAATGAATTCTAGTCTCCAAAGTTAAAACCCTGTATGTGTTTATTGATAAATCTGCCAACCCGAACCAGAGGATGCAAAATTAATACGAAATATGAACTAGAGACAAGTTGTCATGCAGTTAATTAGATCGCAGGTGACGAATAAACCTACTTCTTCATGAATATGAAAACTGGAAAACGAAAGGATTCTAATGTAAAAATTTGATTTGTTTGAAGAAACAAAATTGAGCGAACTCATCCCCCCGAGTATGTAGGAAATAAAAAAAAACACTTCAAGGAAACCAGCTAACAAGATCTACTTTTTTAAAGAACACGGACCGACCAGAAGCCATCAGGTTCTAATTAATCGCACAAAAGCGGTTACTATAATCGATTCGGTAGTATGAATTTTTAATATCGTAAAATCAAGCGCAGTAGTGGAACAACGAAAGAGCAATACTCACGGAAAGTCAACTAGATTACTTTGTTTACAGTAGCTTTCCCTTCAGCTCCATGTGTCTAATAACATAGTACCCGTACAAACAACGATGAAGAATTGCCAATAAAATCGAACATGCGAATTCCAGGAAGGAATTGAGAAGAGGACGACTCGATCGTTGATGAATGCTAATAGTGAACATGTGAGAATGCAGTGGTACAATAAGCGAGACAAGACGAAGCTAAGTTCAGTTGACCCAATTGTGAAAAAACGCGCGGCCTCGGTGGGAGTCGAACCTACACACCAGCCAACTCCCCACCATTGAGCGACGAGGCTCACCGTGAGCCGTGAATTTAATCACACTTGGGTCGGCATACCCGCCCAACTTACTGCTCGTATGGAATCCACCACAACGAATACAGTAACCTGACTGTCCAGACAGGATTTCCTAAGCAAGCATCTACAATCCACCAGAATGACTACTAGGCTCACTTAATTAGTAAGATGGTTTGGCAGATTTGAAGATAAGTTCGATCATGATCGTCTTCACTTCAATATTTCGTGAGCTGATAGCTCAAAAGCGAAGACAAACGCCGAAACACGCAGAATTGCTGGTTGAGAGGTTTTAAGACAGCGTTAATTTATTCTGTGGCGATGACCAACGGTCTCTGAGAAAAATCTATGCTTACCATACATTGCCACAGTTGTACAGGCGTGAGTTATGTGATCGAAATCGAACTGCTTTCAAGACAACTCACGTGGAATCGATAGTAATGGACAAAAACCCGGTAAAGAAGCACTACCAGAACCTTTTCTGTGGCCAGAACTTGCCTGCAAGAGAGACAATCGGGCATAATCAGTGGAGATGCGAATCCTGAGAGAACTCTGCAGTTGAGGCACAAAAGCCATGTCAATCTGAGTGCAGGTTGCCAAAACAGATGGTGAGAGCAATACTGGCG